TTTTCACATTAACATATAAATTATATTTTAGATATATAATAAATAATTTATATTATAGTTAATATTATTTTTTATTTATTGATAATTTATTTTAAAATATTAAAATTTAATTTATAAATAATATAATAAATAAAAATTAAATTAGATAAAAAATTAAAAATCTTTAAAATCATAAGAGAAAATCTCCTATAAAAAAACATTAAAACGGAAGATAAAAGTTCAACTTTAATATATAATGAGTTGATTCATTTTCATATATTAAATTTAGACATATTATTCAACCGTCTAATTTAGACATATTAATTTTTCTTCTTTTGATTCTTAAATTTATTTTTTTTATAATTATTTGTAACATAAATTTTTATACCATGGAATAGTTTTCTTATTACTATATATACGTAGTTGCTTTTAATTTTTCCTAAATTATATATTACTAATATTTTAGCTTATTCAATTAGTGCATATTAGATATTTAGTATATATAACTAAAATTTATAATAAATTATATGTACTAAGTATTATGTTTAGATATATAAATTATATTTAAAATTTATATAAATAAATATTCATCAAATATAAATTATATTTTAGATTTATGATAGATAAATAATTTATATTATAGCACAATAATATTTTTATTTATTGATAATTTATTTTAAAAATATTAAAATTTATGCTGATAAATAATTATGATAAATAAAAATTAAATTAAATAAAAAATTTAAAAAATGAAAACTCTTTCATAAAAAAAAATCTCTAAAAATGTTTTACTGATAGAAAAATGTTCGTGTTTGATATATATGAGTTAATTTATATTCATAAATAATTATGATAAATAAAAAATTAATTTTTTTTTAAAAATCTTCTCATTAAAGATAAATTCATAAAAATACTTTCGTGTTAGATAAATATTTATGTTTAATATATAATAATGAATATTTTTGTTTTTTTTTATTTTTATTCAAATTTAAAAATAAAATTTAATTTTTATATATTATCTGTAAGGATTTTTATTCCGTTAACTAAAATCAAATTCTCTTGAATATTACTTTCTAAATAAGAGAAAATAATTTATGCATCTATAGTCTAAAGATTTTGTATACTGTTATTTAATAAAAAATTGTAAAACAGATTTACATTATGGAGAAGTTTGATATTGTTTTTATCTGTCTATAAATTGAAGTTGGAGCTTTTCAAGTTTAGTTTATTAATTAAAAAATAATATCTTTAGAAAATATTATTTTTTGGAATATTTTTTTATCTATGTTTCTCCAGAAATTATTTTTATGAGGTAGTGAGAATCTAACATTTTTGAGTGGAATGAAAAGTTTTACCCTTTGCATTTCATAATAAGTATCATTTCAAATTATTTTTATACATATAAATAGATTAAAAAAATTTGATAAATAGATGAAAAAGAATAGTAATTTTGCAAATATAATTTTATAACTTTTTTTATTAAAAAAATATGCAACACAACAACAACTTTTTACATAATACTATTAGAGATATAAATGGAAAAGAAACAAGTAATACTACATTAAAAAAATAACATGATACTTATTTTGAAATAAATTTTTCCTTCTAATACAACATTTTTATTATGAGACAGAGAGAATATTTCATTAAAAATGTTATGTTATTTTTATTTATTTATTTAATATAATAAAAATCAATTATTCTCAAGTAATATATGTAAATATTTTTAAAAATATTTACAACCAATTAAACATATTTTAATTATTTCTAGATATAGATATTTATAATTTTCAGAAACCATCATTCCTAATTTAAAAAAAAAATTATTCTATCTAATGTTTCCTAATATCCAATCACAAACTATCTATTAATAATATAAAGGAAAGAACTCTTTCTTTACAAAAGTCACAACTCTCTTCCCTTTAAAACTCTCTCAATTTTTTTTTATTATAAAAATGTTATTTATAAAAACAAAATACTCACACAAAATATATGATATAAAAAATATCAAAATGAAAAGAAAAGAATATATATATATCAAAATAAATGAAAATAATTGGATTAAAA